TTAGCTTTGGAGCTCCACTACAAGTTATAATATCTGGACTAGTTCAAGTACCTGATATTATACTTAATTTAAACGGGTTCTCTCTTTTTCGAGCTACTTAACAGATATGTGACAGAGATACTGTGTGGGAGATGGTTTAATCAGTGACGTGAGACGTTAAGTTTCTTTGACCCATCAAAATGAATGTGGTCATTTATTAACAGAATCAAAATTTAACATCAAACATTGTACACGTGATTATTATGATTGTACGCAATAACACATTTTAATTAATGAGCTTTACAATGAGAAACCATACGGCCATGGTATCTCACTGATAGAAGATAGAAGAGTTTTAAAGATGGGAAATGAGGGAGTTTAAATGGAGAGAAAAGATGTGTGAGGGAAAATGTGTCGACGAAGAACGGCACCCTCCATTCGAACCCAGCTCTACCTCGGTACACTTCGGTAGTGGAAATCGACTCGTTACCTTGTAGAAGATGTCTCCACTGGTACGGAGTTCTCTTTCAACGTTACCATTTCAGCGTCTCCGTAGGAACAGCTGAGAATCGTCCGAAGTAGTGACGGTACTTCGTTCAACACCACGCTCACCTCACGGGTGGACTCACATGAGCTGTGAGTCCGTCAGAGGTTCCACTCAGATGTGGAAGATTCCATAATCCCCACGAGACTCGGAACTTTGTTCTGCGTTCTGCGTTCCGAACTACTTGGAACTAGGAAGTGTCGACCCTTTTAAAGAGGTCACTTCCGGTTCCTCTGAGAACTTCCTAATTGGTTGAAACGAACCAACAGGGGTGTGGTCTTAGTGACGTAAGAGGTTATTAAAAGTCAAGGAGAAAGAGTAGATTGTTTTAAGAACAGACAGAAAGATGTTTTGAAGAAATGAGACTTTTTGGTGCCAGTCTTCCTTCTATCTGTCTGAAAAAGTTAAACATGACATTTCTTTCCAGTAAACATGTTTTTGACCGAAACTTGACTTCTGACCCACATCACGACTTGCTCATTTCAGACAGAAGATCAAAAATGCATAATTACTCTTGTAACAGACATTAACTTGATTTCTACTTTGAATGAGGATTAAAAATCATTTATACTGTTTCAAAGTTGATTTAAAATGAGTAGTTCACTTCAACATTTAAAATGGTTTGAACTAAACACACTTTTGATTATCAAGATATTGTAAAATAGTAATGATAATAAAAAAAGAGAGTGTTCTTTCAATTGATCAGTGCAGGACACACTTAGAAAGTCTCTGGATGAACTTAATTTTGTGTTTCTGGACTCAAATCAATGAAATAACAGTTCTTGTCCCAGGAAGGCCCTCAGGGCCAGATTTTGACCTGAGGCTTAGTTCACTACAATTGTCTTGTTGGAAGATAAATCTCCGTCCCAGTCTCAGGTCCCAGGAGTTTATCGGCTTTGTCACCATGCACGTAGAATTTGGATTTGTTATGTAAAAGTAAGCGTTCAGCTGAGTGTGCTGTCAATAGGTCAAGCCTTGTTTTGAGTTCAACACGCCTTTTGAACAGTTCGGGACACTGATTTAGAGCATATTTTATATCAACCTCTTTGATTTGTTGAATTAGGTTGTTCTGTTAATAGGAGGACTGTTTTTTAATTTTCGCTGAGTAGGCAATGATCTGGCCTCTGATATAGGCCTTAAAGGTATCCCATACTACAAGGCTGGAGATCTCTTGGGAAGAGTTAGTGGCAAAGAAAAAAGTATCTCATCTTGAATAAACTTTACAAATTTGTCATCCGACAGCAGGGTTGAATTGAAACACCATGGTCCAGTTCTTAAGGGGGAGCAAGGAAAGGACAGGGACAGAGTGAGTGGGGCATGGTCTGAAATAACTATGCTCTGATAGTCACAAGAACGGATCCGCTGCAGCCATTCAGTATCTGTAATAAAATAATCGATTCTTGAATAGGTTTTGTGTACATGTGAGAAGTATGAGTACTCCCTCTTGTCAGGATTTAAAGTACGCCACACATCACACAGCCCATACTCAGAGAGAAAGGTTTGGATGACTGATGCAGATTTGCTCGTGACATTACTTTTGAAAGATGAGCGATCTAAAGTCGGGTCCAGCCAACAGTTGAAATCGCCTCCCAGGACCAGCGAGCATTTATTGAGGTCAGGCAGGGAGGTAAATAGCTGTTTAAAAAAGTTCTCATCATCTATATTAGGAGCGTAAACATTAACCAGGGCGACCATAGTGCCACACAGTTTCCCACTCACTACAATAAACCTGCCATGTTTATCAGCCACCACATTCTCAGCCTCAAACGGAGTATTTTGGCTGATCAGTATGGAGACCCCTCGCGCCTTAATCTGAAAATGGAAGTGGAAACGTTGTCCCCTCCAACATGTCAGGAAACGACCCCCGTCCGAGCTCCTGATGTGAGTCTCTTGCAGAAACACCACATCTGCATTAAATCGTTTAATATGGGAGAAAACCCTCCTTCTCTTCACTGGGTGGTTTAAACCCTTGACGTTCCAACTTAAGAAATTTAAATGCTGACTCATGGTTACAGAGTTTGTACGTTAGGCAGGCAGAGATTGAAACAAAAGAGGTGAAGAAAAATAGCAATATCCTGCGAGACCCCCAGCAGTGACCTTAACCGCCCCCCAACCCCCCCCCCCCCAAACATAAACAGCTTCCAAACAGAGAACAACAATGTGGAAGCAAGCTTTCCAAAATTAACATTCTCAGAGAACCAATCTTCCAATAACTAACCACCTCAAAATCGGAACTAACCACTGCTCCTAGTGGACATGAAATATATGCAAACCCCCACAGTGACATAAATTTTGAGACATAATTTACACGTCTCCGCAGACACTATAGAAAAGAAGTAGTGTAATAAAATTTAAAGCAACCACAAGAAAAAGCATGAAAACGGGCTCCAGACACAATTGGGACATAGCAAGCAGGTATTAATGCAGCTACTCCTCCATTCATAAAGTCCATTTTCATCCATCAGAATGGCCAGAATAAGTCTATTGAAAATAAGGTGATATTTACAATACTTGCTGCGCCCTGAGGAGAAACAGCCCGCCTGTGTTTCTGGAGTAAGTCATCAATAAAGCGTTGCTCCCTCATTAGTTTTCCTGTGGTTTTGGAAGCCTCTTGATGAATTGTTGAGCCTCCTCCACGGAGCCTAGAAGCTTTTTGGCTCCGCTGGATTCCGTTATGCGAAGACGGGCCGGGAAGAGAAGAGCCGGCCTCAAGCCCCGCTTGTAGAGCTCCGCCATGATGTCCTTATACACTACACGTTGGGCCAGGACGTCTGGGCTCTAGTCCTCCACAATACGAAGAGACGCACCTTTGTAGTCGAGCTTTCCTCTCTTCCTGGCTTCCCGAATGATGAGGTCTTTGGTCAAGTATCGATGCAGGCGAAGGATCACCGGGCGAGGAGAACGTCCTGCGGGCCGTTTAGCTGCAAGGGAGCGATGCGCTCTGTCAAGTTCTGGTGGGGTCGGGAGCACCTCTTTCCCAAATAGTTTGCACAAAAGATTGGAAAAAAAATGAGTGGGTCGCCCACTTTCAGTGTCTTCGGGCAGGCCGAGGATGCGAATGTTCTGTTGTCTGCTACGGCTCTCCAAGTCCACCATTTTGTCCTTTAGCTTAGCATTTTCCTCCCGGAGAGCAGCAATACAATACAATACAATACAACTTTATTTATAGAGCACTTTAAAACAACACTGTTGGCCAAACACAAGTCTTCGAGGCGAGTTACTCGCTGGCCAAGGTCCTCTGTTGCGAGCTCCAAGGAGGAGACTCGCTCTGCCTGTTCCTCCAGGGCCTGCCGCATCTGGTCTAGTTTAGAGCTCAGCATGTTGGCAGAGGACTTGAATTCAGATTTCAGATCCTCACCGTGCCACTGAAGCAGTGCAGTGATGGCCTCCAGCGTTAAGCTAGCGTCCTCCTTCTTGTTTCCTTTCGCACTCTTACAGGCCATAACTAGTGGGTAAATAATCAAGATACTAGCCAAGGTGTTTTTGCAATATTGGGTGGCGTAAAATTAGGTCTCTGTGGGGTGAATTTAATTAAAAGGCTGAGTTTTTCCGGAGCAGTCCGTTGCCACGTCTACCCTGTCCGCATGCCAAACCGGAAGTCCATTTTAGCCATATGTTTTAAACAAAATAATATGTTGTTAACGCTTAACAGTTTCCAGTATTCTCACTTAAGAAATGAACAGCAACAGAGCAGCAACTGAAAACACTTCACCCTCCAACCCTCTAGTGGGCGCCTCCTTCTGCTTTAATGGAAAACTGACACAAAATGACTCTGTGGCTTTGACCAGAGGGTCTCGCAGTAAAATCACACAACACAGCATTCTTTTCACAGATCAGAGAGCAGGTTTCTCTAAAGGTGACCAACGCTTACTTTAACTTTCGACGGAAAAAAAAAAAAAACTTTCGACGGAACACAGCGTTTTGCGCATGCGTCCGAATACAGCAACTCTACGGCAAGCCGGACGTAGTTAGCTTGTAGCTTCACTGCAGGGCTTCAGGTTACGGATCCCCTGCGATAAATGAGGCACTACTGTAAACTGAATTCAATGGAATAGATTCTCAGTCACCGACGGCACAAGAAAATAAAAGAACAAAGACGAAGCTATGAAACTTTTGTTCTGTGGCTGAAGACATGCAGAGCTCCAAGATTTAAACTACACAAGATTGGTATAATCATTATTAATACTTGGATTGATCTGACAACCTCACCGACGTAAGAGTACAATAAAATATGATGTGACTGTTCAGACTGTCACTGTCAAAAACATCATATATGTATCTGATTGAAAACCACATTTGAAAAGGACCTGGGTCGGATTTGGGAAAAAAAATAAAAATAAAAATTCAGATTTGTCATGTTCAAAGTGTCATGAAAAAAATCTGATGTGGGTCATATGGGGGAAAAATGGGATTTGGGTTACATCTGCCTGCAGTGTGAACGTAGCCTAAGAGAAAAAGAACGGTACCTGGTCTGAACCTGGGTTGTAGTCCTCAGTCTTCCTGAAGAAAGATGAAAGTCTCTGCTCCTCCAGCCAGGCTAGACCAGAAAACATTAAGGTCAATCATTAAACCAATCATTAAACGTACAGTTTCTCTGCAACAGAGAAAATGATTTCAAATGTTAGTACTTTAAATTATTTCCTTGCAGTGACAGAAACAAACTGTACAGAAACAAATCCTGCCGCTGATGCAACTGTTTTCCCTGTGAAAGGGTCAGAGGTCAGTCTGAGAGGACTAGGGTTGTCACTAGGGCTGGGTACCTTTCTAAAACAAACAGTGTCGGTACATTCACTTCGGTGTCGGTTCCTGCATGGTTCTTTTTTTGGTACCAATTTTGTAATTAATATTAATTCTAACAAGAATAAAATTACGTTACACATTACAGTGTAGTGTAGCCGATGTATGAGCGGCTGTGGCTGAGTGGTTAGAGCAGTCGTCCTCCAATGCAAGAGTTGGGGGTTCGAATCCACCAGCAGTCACATGCCGAAGTGTCTCAGGGCAAGACACTGAATCCCTCGATGCCTCCGATGTGTGTCCCATCGGTGTATGAATGTGATAAAGCACTGATAAGCCTCTTTAGAATTATTTGTTCAATTAGGTTTGTAGAGATCTAGTAGAGTGCTGTATGAATGGGTAAATGAGGACACAGATAGTAGTGTGAAGTGCTTTGAGTATCTCAATAAGATAGAAAGGCGCTATAGAAGTACAGTCCATTTACCATTTACCATTTGCTTTGTCAGAAACTTCAGAAAACTCAGGTAGAGGACTCAACAATCACCTGGATCAAAGACTGTCTGACAAACAAACTACAGTTTGAGAGACTGAAGGGTTGTGTGTCCAACCAGGTGGTCAGTAGCTCAGAAGAACCACAGGGGACTGTACTCTCACCATTCCTTTTCACTCTGTACACCTCAGATTTCCAGTACAAAACAGACTCCTGTCATTTGCAGAAATATTCAGCTGACTCTGCAGTGGTCGGGTGTATCAGAGATGGACAAGAAGCTGAGTACAGGGAACTGGTGGACCGCTTTGTGGCATGGTGTGGAAACAATCATCTCATCTTGAATGTGAACAAAACAAAAGAGATGATTGTAAATTTCCGGAGAATCAGGAACAGGTCCAACCCTATTTCCATCATGGGAGAAGAAGTGGCGGCGGTAAAGAAGTATAAATACCTTGGGGTTCACCTGGACAACAGACTGGACTGGAAATGCAACAGTGAAGCCATCTACAAGAAGGAACAGAGCAGACTGTACTTCTTGAGGAAGCTGAAGTCCTTCAGTGTTTGCAGCAAGATGCTGCATATCTTCTATAAGTCTGTTGTAGAGAGCGCTATCTCTTCTGCCATCACCTGCTGGGGCAGCAGCACCAGAGCAAGTGACTTCAAAAAGATCAACAAGCTCATAAAGAAGGCTGGCTCAGTTCTGGGGACTCCTCTAGAACCTTTGGAGATGATTGTTCAAAGAAGGATTCTTCATAAAATGAACATTATAGACAACCTTCAGCATCCTTCCAATGTTCATTTTAGAGTTCATTTTAAGATTCTTTTATTTGTTTTTAAAAGTTTAAATGGTCTTGCTCCATCCTACCTCTCTGAGTTGCTTCACCCATACTCTCCTGCTCGGTGCCTCAGATCAGCTGATCAGCTGCTCCTGGAGGTGCCGAGGTCTAAGCGGAGGCTCAGAGGGGGCAGAGCTTTTTCTGTTGCTGCTCCAAGACTGTGGAACGATCTACCTCTTCCCATCAGACAAGCCCCTTCACTGTCCAGTTTTAAAACTCTTTTAAAAACACATTTTTACTCCCTGGCTTTTAGCACACACTGAATTTGATCTGCACTGTTTTTATTACTTTTATTGATCTTAATGTTTTAACAACTGTTTTTATGTGTTTAAATGTTCTTGATTTTATATGTACAGCACTTTGTGGCAGCTGTGGTTGTTTTAAAGGGCTTTATAAATAAAGTATTATTATTATTATTATTATCCTCTTCATCAGACTGTCATACAACAACAAAGTGTCTTAGGCCAGAGGCTTCTTCAAATCCGTTGTGGGACAGACCACTACAAGAGATCCATCCTGCCCACAGCCATCAGCATCTATAACAACTCTTTAATGAAACCAGGATGATGAGTTATCATAACATATACAAACCGGATTCCAAAAAAGTTGGGACACTAAACAAATTGTGAATAAAAACTGAATGCAATGATGTGGAGATGGCAAATGTCAATATTTTAATCATACTACAACATAGATGACAGATCAAAAGTTTAATCTGAGTAAATCTAACATTTTAAAGGAAAAATATGTTGATTCAAAATTTCACAGTGTCAACAAATCCCAAAAAAGTTGGGACAAGTAGCAATAAGTGGCTAGAAAAAGGAAATTGAGCATATAGCAGCAGGCGTTTCAGGGCTGGGAACCATGGTGCACCCATGCGCTCGGGGCCACCAGGAGAGCTGTCAATCCCTCCTCCTGAGCTCGGTTCAAGAACCGTAAGATCAGAGGAGGTGGAGAAAGAACGCGTACAGAAGCATTTTGGGCCATGGACTGTGGACAAACGCATCCACCCCCCAGCGGTGGTTCGTCTCATGGGCTCAGAGAAGCGCATAATTGACACTGAGCGTTTCCCGTGTCACAACAGGCCCACAGCCGCTATATCAATCTGAGACAAAATGCTCCGTCAGAGGATGATTAAAGGTTGTTCTGTCTACGACAACTTTGAGACAAGAAGAAAACACGGTTGCAGCATACAATAGTCGTGCTGGACACCAGATTTCTGTCCCTCGGCTGCTGCAGAAAGACAGCATGTCGTCCAGTGGACATGAAGTGGCCTCTACGCCTTTCTGTACAGCAGCGTTGAAAAACTGACCACTTGATGTGAACAGCGCTGTGGTGGATGCAGCACGTGACTCCTGAAATGTACGCACTACATCTTGAGAGAGATCCATCCTCTCAAAGATCCACACAGTGGCCAAACCACAGGTGCTGGCCTATTCTGATTAATTCCTGATCGTTCCTCCCGCCTGGAGGGAAGCGTCCCCCCTCCACGGCAGGTTCCACGAGCGCCCTGATAACAAATGTCGTAGGCCTGGGAACCATGATGCGTTCACGCACTTGGGGCAGAGGAGCTGCCAGTCCCTCCTCCTGAACTCGGTTCAGAAAACCGTGATACCAGAGGGAGAGAAGAAGGTGAAAGGCATTATCACAGGCTGTGAGCAGGCACGTCCACCCAGCGGTGGATCGTCCTATGGCTCCACGATAATTATAATTGACATTGAGCGTTCTCTCGTGTTGCTACACATCCGCAGACGCTGGTAGGATTCTACCGTGTCTGAGCCCTAGCTCTGGGTGGAATACATGAGATGTACCCACTTCAATGGAGAGCAGATTGGGTGTGCCCCACACAGCATCTGTCTCACAATGTGGCACATGGGTTGAAAAATGCCTACATTTCCTGCTAGTATGTATGCAACAGTCACTTGCTGTCTGAGAATCAAAAACTCTGATGATTCTGCAGCTCAAGGTCAGTGTTGAGTCATATTCAAAGATCCCGTGCGACACTCCAAAAACATTTAAAAAAGCTGCTGTGTGGAGAGCCACAGCGCCCCACAGCTTGTTAAATGAGTGTGACGTAGGTCTGCTGACGGAAAACAGCTGATATCACTCAACCGATTCACGTGAGTTGCACTGCTGCCCCCTGTCTGTACAAGCTGCTCAGCAGCAGTAGGTGTCCAGATAACGCAGAACTAAAGCGGCTCGGGCGCATAATGGAGTGTTGTTCCTCACAGCTCAGAAATTGACAATCTAGAATAAATCTCATCTTTCCGGTTCATTGGGACCAGGAAATGATAAGAGAGACCTTGCATTTCCTCTCCATCTGAGACTCTAGAAATTACATTTAAAAAGGAATTTCCTGAGCTTCTGCTAGAGGGGACGAGATCTGTTCATAAATGACAGAAAAAACATCCCAGAGTTCCTCCACACCGGGGTTTGAGCTGAACTGCAGCGTGAATCCCGGATGAAACGGTTCACCCATCTGTCTGGAAGCGCGCGTTCATTGCCACCCGTTTATAAGCTATAAAGCGGGCACGCATTTATGCTGTGAAAACTCACATACATGCTGATGTGAACTGGAGCGCACTGAGTGAGAGTGCAAGACGTTGTGTGTTGCTGCGGGAAAACAGCTCATGTGTTGTGTTCACGTTGTGTGCCGCTGCTCCGTGTAACGCTCGGGAAGCGGGAGCGCATATGAGCCGACGCGCCCTGAAGGGTCGTGTGTGTGCGTCCTCATGCGACGCTTTAAGCCAGGATTGCCGCGGGGGCGCGCGTTGGCACTGGTGCGGTAAGGAGGCACCGCGTGCCATCGGTGGAGCGGGGTTACCACTGGCTCGGTCTGCAGAAACACATTCATTGTTTGCTGCGAATCACGTGAGCTTTTGAGTGATTCCACGAACTGCAATATTAATTCAGAGAAAAAAAACCTTCTTCGAGGATGTATGAGCTGAGCCGCTGTGAAGGCTTGTGGAGCTGCTGACGCCGCGGGAGCGCGCGTTGGTACTGGAGCGGTCAGGAAGCAGCGCGCGACATCGGTGGAGCGGGGTTACCACTGGCTCGGTCTGCAGAAACACGTTCATTCTTGGCTGCAAGTCACGTGAACTTCAGAGTGATTCCACGAGCTGCAGTATTAATTCAGAAAACCTTCTTCGAGGATAAAGGAGCAGAGCCGCTGTGAGGCTTGTGAAACTGCTAACACCGCGGGAGCGCGCGTTGACACCACTGCAATGACAAAACATGTGTCGCTTCTGCCGAGAGCGAGATACGTTGCTGAGCTCGTACCGTGGTCTCACGTGAACGTTGGCGTGAATGGCAGGCGCTGAGAGCTGCGTGAGCGCTTTCATGCCGTGGGGGCGCGCATCGGCACCGCTGACAATGAATGAAAACAACCTTAAAAAAGGCTCATTCATAATGAGTGTGTGTGATGGGGCAGCTTGTCAGATAACCATGCTGACAGCCTGGCTAAAGACACTTCATCATAAAATGATGTTATTTCACAGTGTCATCAACACACCTCCAGCGACCGGACACCTGATTACCTTCCGTTGAGCTCTGTTTGTTGTCCTGGAGGGCCCCCTGTTGGCAAAGTCCGGGAAAACAAATGAACTTCCGGCTGGCGGGAGGGGCTGGCGTAGCAGAGCTGGGGAGGCGTTGAGCAGCCGTGGAGCATCTTGAAATTATCTCTCGCTGATGAAAAGAGGATCACCAACAAAACTCCTGCAGCTCTCCTGAGAGGAAGGTGGAGTGACGAGCCAGGAGAACCTCTGGGACCTCGTTCTCCGGCTGCGATGCGGGGCGGCAGACAGCAAAGAGGCGCACCGGTTGAGGATTACGTCAGCTGCCCTGTAGACGGAGCGTACTGCAGGGGCTGGCAGCATCGTTAGCAAGCAGCCGCTACGAGCGGAGTGAGCCGAAGGACAGAGGGCCACCGTCTCTTCCCGCCTCTGAACGTGTACGCCAACAGCGTAACGTGTTGTTCGCTTCGGCCGTGTGGAACACATGCTGGTGAGCTCAGTTGGAGAGCGGTGTCACCATCTCGGTTATGCTAACCGGAGGCACGGAAAGCTGGTCCACCTCGACATCTTACTCCGATGAAGCATCCATCAGGCTCGGCTCCAGGGGGCACGGAGGGACTTTCCGCTCAGTGAACCCCTGCTCTGGGGATGGGTGCGGACTGTGGAGACCGGCTCCCCCAATCTACCAGGAAAAAACCCGTCTGTGGCCTCAGCCGTAGGACGTCCTGTTGGGAACATGAGGCCATATGGATCAAGACGGTGAGCCGGAATGGAGCCCAGTAAACAACCTTCCCGCCGGATCATCCGAACTGGCGGGAAAGGCGTAGGACGTAAAAAAGGGTCCTTTCATGTCAGCCACCTCCTGGGTTACGCCGGGCAACCCCTGAGGGCGCCGTCGGCCGGGAGCGGTGTGATCGCCGATGCGAAACGAGGTGGGATGGGGTGAGCATTCACTCAGCCCCCCTCCACCGACACTACGCTCCCCAGGAGGGAATGAGCAGCGGGGGCTGCAGCTGAGCGCGCCTGTCCCGGAGGAACCATCCGATTCGCTCCGAGGGTCGGCGATAAGAGGAAAAATACAAGATGGCATTGTCCAGCGTGTAGTGACCTGTCACTGAGAAATATTCCTCGGCGCTTACCTTGAAATAAGACTGCTCATCAGCTTCTCCTCGGGGAGGAGAACTCACCGGACGACCGAAGGTCGACTGCCGGGCCAAGCATCCTTAACAAAGGTTGGTCATCTACAAAATTTTCTTTCTTTGTTCTTCTGACAGTGCTATTTAGCTCGCTGAAGAAAAAATGGGAGCCGATTTCCCGCTCTTAACGTAATTTATACGGACCGGGTGGGGCCCACACAGCAGGTGGGCGTGGACTAAATTTTTCAGTGCTAATGCTCCGCATAACGGGATAAACCCACTAAGCGAAAGCCTTAAAGGGCGAAGCCTATACGAAATAGAACTCTTACGTCCGTATGCTCTTTGTGCACTTCACATCCGCCTTTAACACCATGATCCCCCAAACCCTGATGGACAAACTACTCACATTAGGACTAAGTTCCTCCATTTGCAACTGGGTACTAGACTTCTTACCAAACAGACCACGGTTAGTGAGGATCCACAACTTCTCCTCCTCCACCATAACCCTCAGCACTGGCTCTCCTCAGGGATGTGTGTTGAGCCCCCTCCTGTTTACTCTGCTCACGTATGATTGTGCAGCTACCCATCCAGGCTGTCACATTGTAAAGTTTGCAGATGATACAGCGGTGGTGGGATGCATCACAAACAATGATGAGTCCAGCTACAGGCAGGAGGTGGAACACCTGGAGAGCTGGTGCAGAGAGAATAACCTTCACATCAATGTGAAGAAAACAAAGGAGATGATTGTGGACTTCAGAAGGAACAAACACACCTACACCACCCTGAACATGAGAGGATCTGCGGTGGAAGTGGTCTCCAGCTACAAGTACTTGGGTGTACACATGAATGACAACCTCAGCTGGAGCAACAACACCACCAGCCTGATGAAGAAAGCTCATCAGAGACTCTACTTCCTCAGACGGCTGAGACGAGCTGGTCTGGAAGCTCAGTCCTCACCTCCTTCTACAGGTGTGCAGTGGAGAGCATCCTTTGCTCCAGCATCAATGTGTGGCATGGAGGCTGCACAGCTGCAGAAAGAAAAGCTTTGCAGAGAGTGGTGAAGGCTGCACAGAAATCTGTCGGAATCAGCCTCCCCACCATCACAGACATCTACACCTCCAGATGCAGGAAGAGGGCCACCTGCATCATGAAGGACCCCACTCACCCAGCACACACACTCTTTGCCCCACTCCCCTCAGGAAGGAGGTTGAGGAGCATTAAGTGTAGAACCACTAGACTGAGGAACAGCTTCTACCCTGAGGCTTTTAGACTCATGAATCTCTAACCAGAAATTTCACTGTGAAAAATCACATGTTGCTGCTGATCTGTTTCATGTTGCTGCTGATCTGTTTCATGTTGATGTGTTCATGCGTGCACATCTGCTCACAGACTCATGTTCATGTTTGTGCTGATGTTCAACGTAATGTTTTATGTTATGAGTGCTTAGTTTATTTTTAGTTAATGTTTTTCTTAGTTCATATCTTAGATGTTATTACTGTTTATCTTTTACATTTTATTTTTGGATGTAACTGGGACCCTGTGGACATAATTTTGTTCCACCACATGAGGTGCGAATGACAATAAATATTTGACAGTGATTATATATATACCACTGTGTGTGTGTTTTCAGTTTAAATCCTTTGAGAGTAAAGGGAGAACTGACCTGTGCGGGTGGAAGGTGACAGGTGATTGGGTGAAATGCTCGATTTTCCGTGAGCTGAAACAACATCCTGAGCTGAAATCAAAGAGAATGAAGCGCGTGGGTGATTATTGATATTGAGCAGCTGGCCGCGGTGTGAGCAGCTCGTGCTGCGACTTGTTACCTGGCAGCAGGTGAAGCTGCTTCTCCGCGCGATCAGCTGCTTGTTTGCTAAACAACACATCTGTAAATAAATTCTGTTAGTAAACACAAACATAATAAACCCGCAGAGTCCGGTCCTCCGAACAGACCCAGGAACGTCAGAGCTTCTTCTTCCGGGTTTAACAGCTGACATGCGTCACTACCGCCACTTGCTGGACTGGAGGTGCAACAGCAGACGAGCTGTAAGACTGTACTTGTCACGTGCACACAGTGCCAAAGCTACCTGTACCTGGTTTAAGGACCATGGTATCCCTGTTCTTAACTGGCCAGCAAACTCTTCTGACCTTAACCCCATAGAAAATCTGTGAGGTATTGTGAAGAGGAAGATGTGATGCACCAGATCCAACAATTCATAAAGCTGAAGGCCACGATCAGAGCAACCTGAGCAGAGACACTCACTGATGACTCCATGTCACGCTGCAGTGATCCAAGGAGCAACAACTCAGTACTGATGCTGTACATGATCATACTTTTCATTTTCACACTTTTCATGGTCAGACTTTTCAGTTGGCCAACATTTCTAAAAATCCTTTTTTAATTGGTCTTAAATAATGTTCTAAGTTTCTGAGATACTGAATTGGGGTTTTCATTAGATGTCAGTTATAATCATCAACACTAAAAGAAATAAACATTTAAAATATATCAGTCTGTGTGTAATGAATGAATATAATACAAAAGTTTCACTTTTTGAATGGAATTACTGAAATAAAACAACTTTTTTCATGATACCCTCATTTTATGACCAGCACCTGTGCGTTCTTAAGTCTAGTCTCAGTCTCTCTGCTGCCTCTCACATTCTCTGGTCATGCACAGAACACACTTCTTGGGCTCCCTTGTAAAACATATGTGATCTAATAATCTGCCTAAATAAAACTGTTTGTTCTAAATAAAACATGGTTATGGCTAAAATATTATCAATTCAAATTATTTCTTACCACCAGTATTTAATTAATTGGGAACGATGGTTTGTAAATAATGGCAGCACGGTGGCGCAACTGGTAGAGCTGCTGCCTCTCAGCGAGCAGGTCCCTGGTTCAAACCCCGGTCCAGGTGCCTTCTGGGTGGAGTTTGCATGTTCTCTCCGTGCATGCGTGGGTTTTCTCCGGGTGCTCCGGTTTCCTCCCACAGACCAAAAACATGCATGTTAGGCTGATTGGTAACTCTAAATTGTCCCTAGGTGTGAGTGAGAGAGTGAATGGTTGTTTGTCTCGTTTGTCTCTATGTGTCCCTGTGATGGACTGGAGACCTGTCCAGGGTGTCCCCCGCCCCTCGCACAGTGATTGCTGGACATGGGCACCGGCGACCCCCGTGACCCAAAATGGAATAATCGGGTAAAGATAATGGATGGATGGATGGTTTGTAAATAAATAAACCAACCTTTATTAGAAAAGGACATTAAAGAATAAAGTCAAACTGTTATAAAACAATAGATTCTGATCATCTGTCTTGTTCTTTTTAGGAGGAGCCAGAGCTGATGGAGATGTAGATGAACAGATGCTGGGATATATTCATCATTTAACGCGGGTTCCTCATTTTTCTGGACTGAATAAAACGTGCATTGATTTTAAGGAAATGCAAAGTGAGACGTCATTTATATTTGACCCATCAAAATGAATGCGGTCATTTATTTACAGAATCAAATTTAACATCAAACATTTACATTAATTTGGCAAATTATGAAAATAACAATATAAGCAATCAATCAGGAAAAATCATACGGCCATGATTTTTCCGTTGCTGCACCACAGACATTTATAAACTGTACAACTATGATCTTTTACCCACACGGATGTGAATAAGCACTTTACACAGACATTTCTAAATATCTGGGAGAATTTCTACCTGATAGAAAGTTAAAGATGAAAGAAGTTAAAGGGAGTAAGATTGAATGGGAGGGGAGGAATGTTCACCAGAACCGACACTCTCCATCAGAAGCCCAGCTCTCCTTCGGTACGCTTGGTAGGAAACTTGATCCATTACCTTTCTGAAGATTCATCAGCAGATATGGAATTCCGTTAACGCTACCTGTCCAGCGTCTCCTGATGGTGGCTGTAGCTCGTCAGAAGTAGTGGCTAGTGAAAGTTATAATCCCATGGAACTCGGAAGAGCTTTTTGTCATGTCAAGATCATCCCGTCTCCGACAGAACTCGAACAGAACCAGCAGAAAACTCTCCAGCACTCTCGAACTCTCCAAAAACTCTAGAAGTCTGACAACTCTCCAACTCTGTGTAGACCAGGAAGTACTGACATTTTAAAAGACTCTTTCCCGGTTCACTTTTTGGGATTTGTTCATTGGTCAGAAACGACCAGACGGGGTGGGTTTTGTGACGTAAGAGGTTAGAGACAGCGAGAATTGTTATGAGACAGATCAGAAATGTTCTCACAGACCGAGAGGGTTTTGTTTTGGCGTGTTTCAGGAAACAGGTGCAAAACATCTCTACTTACGTCTGAGAGGATTCTAAAACATGACAGTTTTAACATAACAACTTGTTTTTCGTTTGACTGTAACCTTGTAAACACACACACTTGCTCATTCAAAAGCAGAAATCAGAAAAATGCATAATTACTCTGTAACAGCTTTTAACATGAGTTCTAACTGCATGAGAATAAAAATCATTACTCAGTTAATAAAATTGATTAGTTCACTGCAACATCTAAAATGGTTTGAACTAAGACACTTTGATTATCAACATTTGTAGAATAGTAATGATAATAAAAAGAGAGTGTTCTTTTCACTTGAATCTTCAAGAAAGAAAGTCTCAGGATGGGTGAACCTGTATTTATGTATTCAAATACATGAAATGACAGTTCCTGTCCCACAAGGTTCTAAAGGTCAAGAGTTTTGACCTTAGACTTAGTTTCGACGTAGGCCTAGTCCACTACAGTCCCCCCTTTGGAAATCATCACCTGTCCATGGAGATGAATTCCAACTATGGACTTACGTCGTCGATTGTCCTTGAAGCTTGATGTAATCCAGCAAAGAAACAAGAGTCAAGAGTAATCCAGCAAGGAAAACAAAAGTCAAGGTAATTCCACAATGTTCTCGGTAATTCCATTGTGTTGATTATAATTCCATATCGTCTCGATAATTCCATTGTAGCAATGCTTTAACCCCTTGGAAACAGAGTCTGTAATCCATTGGAAGAAGTCATATAATCCACAACGGTAAATCCACAACGATTGGAAGTGTTGATTAATCAGCATACAGAGGGGTACCCTTGGATTGAACTGAAGAAGCGGCCACCGGATGAAGAGTGGAGACCAACGTCAGGATTGCAGGTCGCCTCCAGCGAAGGTTGTCTCCAGCGACGTCCAGCCTGTGCCGTTCTGGTTCAATGTGTCATGCAATTATGTGGTTTAAGGTGGGCTTATGAAGGGGATTTTACATAAGGCCTTAAACTATATGCACCTGGTGTGTAAGCTATTATGGTTGGGAACAGCTACGACTACCAGTTAAGGGGTGGAGCATGCTGAAAAGGGGTAACTACAGGGGTTTAAGCCTATAGAAAAGGGTTCCAAACTACTTTTCCATTTCTAACTTGGGTTAAGTTAGCTTTACATGGCAAAATATAGTTTGGTTCAAATGTCTGTTGTCTTTTAGACGAACGACTTGAGATTGGGTGTTTGGTTTCCCCATAAATGTTTTGGAAGTCTATGGCGAGACTTATCAAAAAGAATTAGCTATCCCCCCCGAATAGAATTGTTCGAGTAGGTTCGGCTTAAGTGTTGTGAGATCAATGTAGATTATGGTACTTAAAGTAGCAATAATATACATTGACTCCGCAAAGATTGCAATTTAATGAATGAACTGCATGTTGGCATGGTCAAAGGCTTCTTAGTCTCTAACTTACTACACACAAGATTCATTCTTACCTCAGAAACAACCAAAATCAACTAAACAACGTTTCAACACCGACAAGAGTAGTGACTAAGCATCTAGAAACATCGTTTCACTGCTCCTCCTCACCCTGGTTGTCAGTTTCAGTCGCGTTGTCCCGTGTGAGTGGCTTCTTTGCGGACCCGCTTACGCGAGGCATAATCATATCGAGGTGCGCTGCATGGCGATCCACGTCGACTCGGAGTGACGTTTGGCCCCGGAACAGGGATGCGAGTATCCCACACAATACGAGGGTTATCGTCATTAGCAGGGCTATGATTAATGTGTCCGCGCTTGACCACGCATAGGTAATTGGTTGGATCGGGTTCTTAGTTGTGGACCTGAGGGACTTGAGAACTTGGTTTATTGGTTCCACGTCGACGACTTGGGTGCCTTCAAAACGGATCCTTCCCAGAGTCTCTGGATCTATGTCTATAGACATATTTCCTAGGTACTCTGAGTCATCCAGAGTCGCGTCCCATCGTTCCGGATCGAGGTGATAGAGCGTCAAATCACCAATGTGTATGGTTGTTCCCTGGGGAACACTGATCCACATCGTTTTGTCCGGTAACGCCAAAGGTCTATTTGCCCCGGGTTGATCGTAGGCTATGATCGCCTGTCTTTGAGGAGCGTTCACTAGCCAACGAGAGCCAATTATTTCCGCTTTTGCATCTTTAGCCAGGTGTCGAGGCGTTACGGTCGTTGAGCACTTAGAATTTTCCGGAATAGGTGTTAACCCGCATATGCCCGCGGTTTTATTCCACATAAACGGTTTGCTCGGGCACAGATAGTGTATCTCCCGAGTGAGAACACACATCTGCAGGTTTGGAGCTAGGTAAAC